ACAACATTAATTGTTTTTAAAACTTAGTTTTATTGGTAGTTTAGTGAAATAGATTCAAATGTTTGGCTGCTGTTGCCTCTGCCATTGTCTTACTACTTTATGACTTCTTAAGGGTTGATAAGAAATATTTGTTCAGCCGGGCGCGGTGGCTCAAGCCTGTAATCCCAGCACTTTGGGAGGCCGAGGCGGGTGGATCACAAGGTCAAGAGATCGAGACCATCCTGGTCAACATGGTGAAACCCCGTCTCTACTAAAAAATACAAAAAAAAATTAACTGGGCATGGTGGTGCGTGCCTATAATCCCAGCTACTCAGGAGGCTGAGGCAGGAGAATTGCCTGAACCCAGGAGGCGGAGGCTGCGGTGAGCCGAGATCGTGCCATTGCACTCCAGCCTGGGTAACAAGAGCGAAACTCCGTCTCAAAAAAAAAAAAAAAAAAAAAAAAAAGAAATATTTGTTCATAAATATAAAAATAAGCAAGGCATATGTAACATCTGTCCAGAAGGCAAAACTGTGATGATCTTCGGTTTTAATATGTTATAGTAGCTACCATCAGGACTTCAAGTAACACACCTTCATATTCTGTCTTTATCTTTACCCCACGCAATTTATGTTGCAATAGTTGTTCAGGTCTTCGCATCAGGCACTTTGAAATGTTTTCTTTTCTCATCTAAAAATTTCATTCTCTTGACACACTGATGTTTTCTTGGGTGTAATGGGAAATAGTATAATTAATTAACAACATGTGCTTTAACCAAACCTTTATTGGAGTTTAAAGTTTTTGACTAGTTAATCAAAATTATTTTCTCAATGCCAGAATGAAAGAAGTCTTTCTGTGTTAAACAGCTTCCTTATACTTTTCTTCTGAGAAATTGAGAACTCTGGTTAGTGTTTAAGGTTTAGCTTCTGGTCAGGACAACAAAGCTGGGTTGGGTTAAAAACCGATTCAATATTTGTGACTGGGTCATAGATTCAGAGCAAAATTGTTTACCATATCTTGCAAAATGAGTGATAGCAGTTGTCATATACTTTTTGGCCCAAAAAGTTTGATTTGTTTATTAGATTGAAGAATATATTGGTCATGACTGTAAGGGAAATTGTTTAGAGTCAGACTTGTTATTGTGAAATAACAAAAAAAGTTGACTGGGTTAGTAACAAAAAGGTAAAAAAAAAAAGATTGATTTTAAAAGATACTAAAGAAAACATCTTATTCTTTATGTAATCCTAGCATCATGTTTGTACATTTTAGGCATAATATATAAAGCTTTAGAAATTATCTTGAGTAGGGCTGGGTGTGGTGGCTCACGTCTGTAATCCCAGCACTTTGTGAGGCCGAGGCAGGTGGATCACCTGAGGTCAGGAGTTTGAGAGCAGCCTGACCAACATGGTGAAACCCCATCTCTACTAAAAATACAAAATTAGCCAGGTGTGGTGGCGCCTGTCTGTAGTCCCAGCTACTTGGGAGGCCAGGGCAGAATCGCTTGAACCCGGGAGGCAGAGGTTGCAGTGAGCCAAGATTCCGCCGTTGTATTCTAGCCTGGACAAGAAGAGTGACGCTCCATTGGAAAAAAAAAAAAAAGACAATCTCTTGAGTATCTTTACTCTCCTTACACTTATTTAAATGAATATGCTCTGTAATTAGAATTGAGCTGTTTCAGGACAAAATATAAAACACTTTTAGAATTTCTTATTTTAATTACTGCTGGACCTTAAAAACCAATAGGCATTGCTTAACTGTTGTCTTTTTATGTATGAATAACTATACATTGTTAATAATTTTAAATGCTTAGGTCTTTTTTTAAAGTAGAGACAAGGTCTTGCTTTGTTGCCCAGGCTGGTCCCAAACTCCTTGGGCTCAAGTGATCCTCCCACCTTGGCCTCCCAATGTCTTTATTTTTACTAGCTGTAATTTTCTTCTTAAAGGAGGGATATAACATTTCTTTTATATTATAGAACAGATTATAGTAGATGAACAAACTGCTGTGTTTCAGTCTTCCTTTTTCTTCTATACTCACTATCTTGGCACATTTAATCTTCCCTAGCTGTCCATTCTAGTCAGGAGACTCCTATATTTGTATACATGATCTCAGGTTTGTGTTCTAGTCCTGTTATTCGAAGTACTTATAGGATATTTCAACTTGGATTGACATCTGCAGCTTGACTTTTCTTGTTTTCCCAAGACTAGTTGAGATAGACTGAGACTCACCAACTTTCACAATATTCCCATATTACTTGGATTCATTCTCTCATTTGCTCAATAGAAAGTTATGAAGTTTCTGCTTTGCCAGGCACTGTGCTAGTATCTAGGCATAAGACAAGACTCAATCTAGTATAGAAGGTGGACAGGTAACGTGTCAAGATCAAATGTGATTAATCTGGTAAAAGAAGTGCATCTTTTATAATGGAGACCCAAAAGAGGGACTTGCACTCAGTTGCCAGCGGTTTGAAGGAATAAATGGGAGTTACACAACTATTGTAACCTTTTTTTTTGTATTTACACATGATTTTCTAAGAATGACTATATAGCGTACATTCCTTTTTTTTTTTTTTTCTGAGACAGAGTCTCGCTCTGTTGCTTAGGCCCAGAGTGCAGTGGCAGGATCTCAGCTCACTGCAACTTTAAACACCCATGTTCAAGCAGTTCTCCTGTCTCAGCTTTCCAAGTAGCTGGAATTACAGGTGCCTGCCACCACACCTAGCTAATTTTTTGTCCTTTTAGTAGAGATGACGGTTTTACCATGTTGGCCAGGCTCATCTCGGACTCCTGACCTTAAATGATCCACCTGCCTCAGCCTCCCAAAGTTCTGGGATTGCAGGTGTGAGCTGCCACAGCCAGCCTGCATTCCTTTTTAACAAATACTTGGCTGGGTGCAGTGGCTCATTCCTGTAATCCTAGTACTTTGGGAGGCCAAGGCGGGTAGATCACCCGAGGTCAGGAGTTCCAGAGCAGCCTAGCCAACGTGGCAAAAACCCGTCTTTGCTAAAAATACAGTAGGTAGCTGTTCATTACACACCTTTAATCCCAGCTACTTCAGGAGGCTGAGGAAGGAGAATTGCTTGAACCCGGGAGGTGGAGGTTGCAGTGAGCCAAGATTGCGCTACTGCATTCCAGCCTGCGCAACGGGAATGAAACGCTGTCTCAAAGAGAAAAAAAAAAAAGGAGTTATAAATATTTTTCTTTTTTTTTTTTTTTGGAGACAGTCTTGCTCTATCACCAGGCTGAAGTGCAGTGGTGTGATCCTGGCTCACTGCAGCTTCCGTTTTCTGGTTTCAAGCAATTCTCCTACCTCAGCCTCCTGAGTAGCTGGGACCACAGGTATGCACCACCACGCCCAGCTAATTTTTTGTACTCTTAGTAGAGACGAGGTTTCACCATGTTGGCCAGGATGGTCTCAATCTCTTGACCTTCGTGACCCGCCTGCCTCGGCCTCTCAAAGTGCTGGAATTACAGGCGTGAGCCACCATGCCTGGCCATAAATATTTTTCTATAGCAAAGAACATACTTCCACATCATTTTTAGCTTTGGAATTTTTGTACACAAGGTTTAGGAGGTCACCTCTGGGAATTGGAGTTGTTTTTGGTCTCAGACAAAGTGTAATTATAGTAATTATTATTATTATTTGGATTAACATAATGAATACATTCTTTTGAGTAATGGTTAATTTTGAGTTGCATTATTTACATCACATCTAGCTTTGTATCTCTTTTCTTATTTTGAGACGGAGTTTTGCTCTTGTTGCCCAGGCTAGAGTGCAGCAGTGCAGTCTCAGCTCACCACAACCTCTGCCTCCTGGATTCAACTGATTCTCTTGCCTTAGCTTCCAGTAGCTGGGGTTACAGGTGCCTACCACCATGCTCAACTAATTTTTGTATTTTTAGTAGAGATGCAGTTTCTCCATGCTGGACAGCCTGGTCTTGAACTCCTGACCTCAGGTGATCCACCGCCTCAGCCTCCCAGAGTGCTGGGATTATAGGCGTTAGCCAACTATGTCCCACCTCATCAAACTTATTTGTAATTGTTTCGATAAGGAGGGTACTATGAAATAGGCTTATTTCATAGCATGTATTCACAACCCTGGGGCCTTGACTCCTTTGAATCTGTGCTGTAGTGGGACTACTTTTTCTAATTTGGAAGTTATATGTTTTATTGGATATGTGTGGGGTTATGGTATTCATTTGAAACATAATTAGGTTTGCTTGTTTCTGAATTTAATCTTTTTACTAGGGGAATTTTCAAACACACCTATAAGCAGAATAGTACAATGACTCTACGTGTTTGTTACTCAGCTTAAACAGTTAACACACAACTGAGCAGGTATACTTTCTTATATGAATTGTAGAACTATATATACTTCATAAATATCAATATGATATATGTAGTGATAGAATGTAAACAAATTTAATAAAAATATTTGTCTAGGCAGGGAGTGGTGGCGCACACTTATAATCCCAACACTTTGGGAGGCCGAGGTGGTTGGATCACATGTGGTTAGGAGGTTGAGACCAGCTTGGCCAACATGGTGAAACCCCATCTCTACAAAAAGAAATGCAAAAAAAATTAGCTGGGTGTGGTGGCAGGCACCTGTAACTCCAGCTATTTGGGGGGTTGAGGCTGGAGAATTGCTTGAACCTGGGAGGCGGAGGTTGCAGTGAGCCAAGATTGTGCCATTGTACTCTAGCCTTGGAGACAAGAGCAAAACTCTGTCTCAAAAAAAAAAAAAAAAAAAGTGTCCGTACTTTATTTTGGGTACATTAATTATACTTTTATTTCATGCTAATTGTAATATTATGTTTTTTATTTATAGAATATTTTCACAAACCATACTCTGGATATAAATGTAAGGTGGCTTGCTGTACTGTATTTTAAACATGGAATTGATCGCTACTGGAGACGTGTAGCACCTCAGTAAGTTCTGTCACTTCCCCTAGTTTCTTGAGTGTGATCCTTCCCAAATTCAAGAAGGTAAAAGAATGTACTTGTTTATGTAAAAGAATGGTTTAGTGCTTGCTTCTGTGGCACATATACTAAAATTGGAATAATACAGAGAAGATTAGCATGGTCTCTACGAGTATGTTGTGGAAATTTGTGAAGTGTTTGATATTTAAAAGAAAAAAATGCAAAAAAAGTGTTTACTACTGAATAACTGTTCTATTTAGTTAATGACAAATCAATAGCTATATTATTTTCGTGGTTTTGTTTCTCTCTCTCTCTCTCTCTGTGTGTGTGTGTGTGTGTGTGTGTGTGTGTGTGTGTGTGTGTGTGTGTGTTGTTTGCCTTCTGCTTGCAAGGATCATGCTTAGTGACTCATGTTGAACAAAAGCCTTTTTCTTTTTAGTCCTACCTAGTTAAAAGGCTGAGGCAGGAGGATTGCTTGAGTCTGGTAGCTTGAGACCAGTCTAGGCAATGTGGCGAAACCCCATCTCAAGAAAAAAGAAACAGAAGTATAAGGTTAGGATTTAGAAAAAAGCCATTCAGAAGGAAATCCCAGGTCCATCCTGAACCAACTGGGTGTTAGTTTCTGAGTCTTACACATTCTTCCTCTGTGGCGGAAATGGAGTAGTACACATTCGTAATCACATTAGTATTCAGTTATGTACGTAGTTAACAGATTTCTCTTAGTAGTTAATTTTACATGTTATATAATTAATGGAAAAGCATTGTAGACATGACCCTGGGATTTGTTTGATAGAAAATATGGTAGTGAATTTTGCCAAAGAAGTAACATAATCTGTGTTTTCCAGTAGATGGCACTGTAGCTCTGTAAAGTCTTAAAGCCGTAAGACTTTTTTTTTGAAGTCTGAATACTTCAGAGTACATATAAAACATGTCCTTGAATAATATTGGAAACAACTAGAATATTTCAGGCTTATAATATGGTTTAAAGCAAACTTGTCTTCTTTGTTAGGATTTTAGATAGGATTAACTTTTAGATAGGATTAATTTATAATTTTGGGGAGAAATATGGTAGGTAGTGATGAGAAAGTGTGCATTATTGGTTTATAGGAAATGGCCCAGCAGCACTTTTCTACTACTTTGTCCAATTAAATTTTGCTCGTCTCTGAACCGGCACAGTGGCTCACGCCTGTAATCCCAGAGCTTTGGGAGGCCGAGGCAGACAGATCACCTGAGGTCAGGAGTTGGAGACCACCCTGATCAACATGGAGAAACCCTGTCGCTACTAAAAAAAAAAAAAAAAAAAAAAAAGATACAAAATTAGCCAGGTGTGGTGACGCATGCCTGTAATCCCAGTTACTTGGGAGGCTGAGACAGGAGAATCACTTGAACCCTGTAGGCAGAGGTTGCAGTGACCTGAGACCTCGCCATTGCACTCCAGCCTGGGCAACATGAAAAACTCCATCTCAAAAAAAATAAAACAGAACAAAACTTTGCATGACTCCTCAAATTCATTTTGTTTTACGGGTTATATAAAGGATATAGTTATAAATGATTGTTTTGACTGGGCTCAGTGGCTCAATCCTGTAATCCCAGCACTTTGGGAGGCTGAGGTGGGCAGATCACCTGAGGTTAGGAGTTCGATATCAGCCTGGCCAACAGTGGCAAAACCCCATCTCTGCTAAAAACATAAAAATTAGCCAAGCATGGTGGTGGATGCCAGTAATCTCAGTTGCTGGGGAGGCTGATACAGGAAAAACACTTAATCCTGGGAGGTAGAGGTAGCAGTGAGCCGAACTTACGCCACTGCACTCCAGTCTGGGCGACAGAGTGAGACTTTGTCTCAAAAAATATATATAAATAGAAATAAAAATAAATAAATGATTGTTTTGCAGGGAAAGTAAATTATAATTAAATATTTAAGGTTGTACTTTTACATAATGAATTAGAACCTGGAATTTAGTTTAAATTTAAAAAGTTAAGAGATAATTTACACAATATTAGGTAGATAAATCCCAAGCTGTATCTTTTAGTATATATTGAGATGAAAGCAGGAAAGGAGATGAATGTATTTAGAAAGGGAGCAAGGGTGGCTGATTAGTAATTGAACTTATAGTTAAACTTAAGACTTTTTAAAAAATATGCTTGTTTTTCTACTTTTCTGTTTCATTTTTCATAGATCCTACTCTTAACCATTGTCACGGAATGAGAATTACTGAACAAGCTTGTTACCATTACCATGTTTTTCTGGGTCCTTATTAATTAAATACCATCCTATTTCTGCTTGGGATATACTTTGAATTCATCTAATGATAATATGCATAGAATTAAAGGTGGAACATTAACTATTAATAGAGAATTGTTAAAGATACAAATTTTCTTTAGGTTAATGGCTTGTTTCTTTAATATGTATACAGTCCCTGACTTATGGTGGTTTGATTTAATGATTTTGTTTTACTTCACTATGATGCGAAAGTAATATGTATTCAATAGAAACTATTTCAGGTACCCATACAACCATTCTATTTTTCATTTTCAGTGTAGTATTTCTCATTTTCAGTGTAGTATTTTTCATTTTCAGTACAGTATTTTTCATTTTCAGTACAGTGTTCAGTAAATCAACATGAGATATTCATTATTTTATTATAAAATAGGCTTTTTGTTGGAGGCTTTTGTCCAGTAGTAGGCTAATGTAAATGTTCTGAGCATGTTTAAATTAGGTTAGGCTAAGCTATGATGTTCAGTAGGTTAGATATATTAAATACACTTTAGACTTATAATATTTTTTGATTTACAATGGGTTTATCAGGAGGTAACCTCATTAGAAGTAAGGAGCATCTGTATATTTTTTGCATGGTCTCTCTCTACATATTTTGATAGCTAGTCATTATATTATACATTTTTATCCTAATTAGAGTTATGCGGACTGCTGAACCTGGCTCCTTGGCATAGAAGAAAAGTTCAGTTACAAGTTTAAAGCAAAGCATTGTAGGAGAACACATTATATCATGGATTTGCTAGTAAAAGGGAACTACCTGCTGTGGAAAGTATGGAAAGTATAACATAGTCATCTGTCATAAAAGGATTAGAGAGATCATTTCTAATGACTTGAATGTTTATCTTAATCTTGTTTTCTCATTTGTTTATTAACCTTGAGTAAGTCATTAAGGTTTTAAAATAGTTTCTTTTATTTATTTATTTATTTATTTATTTATTTATTTATTTATTTTTGAGACGGAGTTTCACTCTTGTTACCCAGGCTGGAGTGCAATGGCGCGATCTTGGCTCACCGCAACCTCCGCCTCCTGGGTTCAGGCAGTTCTCCTGTCTCAGCCTCCTGAGTAGCTGGGATTACAGGCACGCGCCACCATGCCCAGCTAATTTTTTGTATTTTTAGTAGAGACGAGGTTTCATCATGTTGACCAGGATGGTCTCCATCTCTTGACCTCGTGATCCACCTGCCTCGGCCTCCCAAAGTGCTGGGATTACAGGCTTGAGCCACCGCACCTGGCCCTAAAATAGTTTCTTTGAAGTGTAATACATAACATACTTTCATCAGTACACAAATGAAGGTTTATAGTGGGAAGACACCCGTGTAAGCCACTTGGAACTAGGTAGAACACCTAAAACACTCCAGAAACTTTTACACGTGTGCATTTTATTACCATTTATAGTCAGATGTGTGTTCAACTTTAGTAGATACTGTCAATGAATTTTCTAGGCTGGTTGTACCAGTTTATACTCCCACAGCAACATATGAGTGTTAGTATTTGCTCTGCATTCTTATCAACACATGGTCTGATCTTTCATTTTAGTCATTCTGGTGGGCTTAGTAATTTTAGTTTGCATTTTCTTGAGGAATGATGAGCACTTTTTAATTGTACTTATTAGTTACCGGAATATTCTCTATTGTGAAGGGCCTGTTATTTGCACATTAAAAAAAATTGGATTTCTTACTGATTTATGAGATTTTTATTTTGAGTAGGAGTTTTTTGGTCAAATGTACATATTAAAAATATCTTCTCCTAAGCTGGATATGGTGGCTCATGCCTGTAATCCCAGCACTTTGAGGGGGCTGAAGTGGGCAGGTCACTCAAAGTCAGGAGTTTGAGACCAGCCTGGCTGACATGGTGAAACCCCATCTCCATTAAAAACACAAAAACTAGCTGAGCATAGTGGTGCACGCCTGTAAGTCACAGCTATTGGAGAGGCCAAGACAGGAGAATCTCTTGAACCTGGGAGGTAGAGGTGGCAGTCTAGCATGGGCAACAAAGCAAGACTCTTGACTGCAAAACAAAACAAAACAAAACAAAAAACTTCATTGTGACTTGCCTTTTCGCTTTCTTTTTTTTTTAAATTTTTTTAATTTATTTTTATTTTTATTTTTTTTTTATTTTTTTTTTTGAGACGGAGTTTCGCTCTTGTTACCCAGGCTGGAGTGCAATGGCGCGATCTCGGCTCACCGCAACCTCCGCCTCCTGGGCTCAGGCAATTCTCCTGCCTCAGCCTCCTGAGTAGCTGGGATTACAGGCACGTGCCACCATGCCCAGCTAATTTTTTTGTATTTTTAGTAGAGACGGGGTTTCACCATGTTGACCAGGATGGTCTCGATCTCTCGACCTTGTGATCCACCCGCCTCGGCCTCCCAAAGTGCTGGGATTACAGGCTTGAGCCACCGCACCCGGCCGCCTTTTCGCTTTCTTAATGGTGTCTTTTGGTGAACAGAAGCCCTTAATTTTAATGACGTTTAATTTAATTACCTTTCTGTGATTATTTCTTTTGGGTCGTAATTTTAATTTTTTTTTTTTTTTTTAAGGAGATCAGGTCTTATTCTGTTGCCCAGGCTAGAGTGCAGTGATGCAATCATAGCTCAGTGTAATCTCTAACTTCTGGGCTCAAGCAATCCTCCTGCCTCAGCCTGCCTGTAGCTGAGACTACAGGTGTGTGCCACCACTAGCTAATAAAAAAAATTTTTTTTTAAGAGATGGGGTCTTACTGTGTTGCCCAGGCTAGTCTTGAACTCCTGACTTCAAGTGACCCTCCCACTTTGGCTTTTTACACTGCTGAAATTACAGGTGTGAGCCAGTGCACCTAGCCTATTTATGAAATTTTTGCTCAACCTGTGGTCATGAAAATACTGTTTTCTGTTGAAAGCTTTGTTTTCTTTTTTTATTTTAGGTGTATGATCCATCTGGAATTTTTTTTTGCACAA